AGTAATCCTTCCAAATAACATGAATAAATTATTTAAACTTCAGCTAAATTATTTTAAATTGTTTGATGTGATTTTAGTTTCATCAAAAGAAAACAAATATATCTGTAGATGTGTGCATGTTTTTAAGAACATTTTATATTGACTGTAAATATGTAAATCTATTTTTTATTTGCTTCAAAAAATTAAAGTACATTATGTAACTCTAAAATAAATAATTCAACTTAGCTTTACAACCTATTTGCTAATTTTATGTTTTAATATAAATATTATTAATTTTGTTTCAGTCCAGAGTTAGTAATGATAATTAAAGAATCTCACACTGAATTTTCTAAAGACTTGTTTAAAAAAAAAACAAAAAAAACCTACTATACTCTACTATTATAGTGTAATATTATGAACAAAGGTTGTATCATTGTAGCCATTAAAACTGTTACTATCCAGTGAAAGAAGTGTTATGATTTGATTTGATCCGGCAGTACCAGTAATAATTCTGCTCTTACCGCTGTTCTGACAGGTATCAAACTGGTTTGGGAATAAGAGAATCAGATACAAGAAAAACATCGGCAAGTTCCAAGAAGAGGCCAACATGTATGCAGCCAGGACTGCGGTCAACGCCACCAGTGTGTCGGCTCACGGCAGCCAGGCCAATTCCCCGTCAACTCCCAATTCAGCAGGTGAGCCTCGAACCCTGAGCTGAGACTGTTCAGGTGCATTGAAAGGAGCTCCATGGACTGAAAAATTAGATTTCATTGCGTATAGACTTGTACCCCAACTCAAGGGTTTAATGGACTCTGGTCATGTTTATGTGGACTTGCAGAATGCCTCTGTTCTTCTCAACTAACCCAAAGATTCACTTTGGCTTTTTTTCCACTTCTTCTCTTCCTTCTATCCTCTCTCTCTCTCTCTGTCTTGCTCTCTCTCTGTCTCTCGATGTTATTGACCTCTTGGTCTTGTGGACGTTAATTTTTCCTTCCTCTTGTCCGGTTGACCTCATGTATGCCATTAAGCCACTCAGAGGGCAAGCTGAGTCTTTTGTCATATAGAGACTTTGCAACTGTATTGGATTAGGACCGGGTGTTGAAATCAAGTTACGCCATGGTCTCTTTACATCTGGGGGAGCTGGGGTCCATTAAAGGACGAAGACGATTCTTTGGGTCTTCCTGCACATCAATTGTGACTTCCCTAATGAAACACTAGCTGCATAGACATTTAAATGTAATGTAATCTATGAGCCTTGTTTAACTTAAACAGTTTAGTAATGAGAATCTGTCTCATTCTTGTTGCTGGAGGATTTTTTTTCTTAACATTGCTTTGAATGAATGTTGACCTACAGTGTCTGGCAAGTGCAACTTAGGAAAAACGATTTGCAAAACAATATGAGGTTTACAATAAAATATATAGTACATTATGATATGATGTAATACGCTGCATTACATTACAATACAATATGATGCATTACCATATGCTGTATGATAAATTACAATATGAGACAATGTTGTACATTATTAAATGGTACAAAGTGATATATTGTGATACATTACAGTACACTATATTATACATTATCCTGCAGTACAATATGATAAATTATATTATGATACATTATGGTGCGGTACCATATTATAAATTAAATTATGATATGGTACATTATGATACATTATAATATACAGTATTTATGGTATGGTACAATTTGATCCATTACAGTGCACTTTTAGTACAAATGAGTATTACACTGTTATGATACAAGGCAATATGATACTTTGTGATATAGTACAATTTAATACATTGTGATATGATACAAAATGATACATTACGGAACAATATGCTACATTATGACAATGGGAGGATAGTACGTTATGACATATGACAATTATACATGTACCTTATACATATTAAATACAGTACAAAATTATACATAATGATATAATATATTTTGAAACTATATGTAATAAATTATGATACAGTACATTATAATATGATTTGATGCAATAAGATACATGACATTACAATAAGAGATATTATGCTTAGATATATGATACATTTGGATACATTATGATACAATATGAGACATCATGATACATTACAATACGCTATATGGTAAATTAGATTCGGATACAATGTGATCCAATAAAATATAGCTCATATACAATATGACACATTATAATGGTATATGTGATACATTACAATCTGGTACAATATGAATCAATATATTACAATACTGTACGATATGAAATATTACTATATAGCACAGTGTGATTTGATGTTATATCTTTATTGTCCTTTTGAGAACCATAGGAAAGATGTCTGCCAACCACACAAACTAACCCATTTAATGCTCTTTTGCTTGTGCATGATCGTTTTAACCCCTTACTCTGTCCCTCTCCTTGTCTTTTCACTTTCCTTTCACCTTTGTCCTGCTCTATATCTTCTCCTCTGCCTCTGTATGTATATTCTCAGGTTCAGCTGGCTCTTTTAACATGTCAAACTCCGGAGACTTGTTCATGAGTGTGCAGTCCCTCAATGGGGACTCGTACCAAGGGGGGCAGGTTGGGGCCAACATACAATCCCAGGTAGGCGATTCTCCAAGCTTAGCCTCTTTATAAAAAAACAAATAAAAAAACCTGACAAAAGTCTTGAGACATTATTCTACCGATGACCAGTCCTGGAGTGCCCAAAATAGCTTGACCTACACACTGAAATGGGGGTTACTTCTAGCCTGAAGCTCTCTGTTAATGTAGATACCATTGTCAAGCTATGGTTGAATAGACGACGGCAGACAGTTTTGGAAACGTTGCAATGCTCATCAGCACTCCTGACAAGAATTCACATAGCCACTGGTGCATTGTGGCACTCTGACCTTGCCCCAGTGGACAGTTCTGGCCAGCAACAGTGTTACAACTTTCACCAGAGATTAAGAAATCACCACCCACGGTGATATTCTCTTTTTAGTTTGAATGCTTTTAGCATCATTTCCTTATCTCACCGTCCCTCCTTTTCAATTCAGATCAGCTCTCCAAAAGCTTTAGGACGTTCATGAATATGCAACAGGGACAAGGCTTGTATGAGGTAAAGATGTCTTTGGGGTTTGCCTTTAAATATAGTTTTAAAAATTAGATGTGAGTTACAATTATAAATTAAAGCCAGAAACTTTAATTACTCATAGCAGACCTCCTAATATGACGCAATCTACATTTAACTGAATAACATAATCTTGGCAACATTTAGATGCGGGTTTTTTTTACCTTAAAAAAAAATAGAAGATGTTACTACATATTTAACAAGAACATACAAAAATCTTGGTTAGCAATATCATAGACTTTAATTGTGGCTTTAATACAAGTGAACCAAGTTTTAAATTTGATACTTCAATACAATGTAATAAACACAAAGCATGTAATACTTGACACAAAAAGCAGCTTTGCCTAGTTCCCATTCGGTTAGTGTAAACTTTATAATATTCATAACCATTATAGATCTGTTCCAGAGAAGTGGTAGCTTGTGTTTGTTTTGGCTCGTGTAGCATGGCACGTTTATGAACTATGACTGTGTTCTGTGTGTACACCAATGCAGTCATATTCAGCCACAGATTTTCAGTTTAACAGCGACAAATAACTGAGCATTTGCTTACTTTCTATCATTTTATCCTTTTGATTTGTCCGTTAGTGAGCTTGTATTAGCAGCCAAATCATACTGATTCATTTAACAAGGTTGAGTCAGGTCCTCTGGATGGGTTATTCTTTGTTGAAATGTTTTGTTTTTTATAAAAAAAAAAACTGCTTGTCTGAGGAGCTGCAACAAACTGTCTTATAAGTAGCACAGTGGATCAGCCAGTTTATTGGTGACAGCCAAAACTAGTTGTTCACATGCAAAAGGAGGACCATCAGTCGAACAATTGATTGTTAGTGCCCAGATGGTCGCTTGCTACCCACAGAGGGCTGGGTGATACTTGCAATAACAGTATTTTAAGAGAGGGACAGTTGAACATTGAGGACCCGCCCCTGTTTAATGATGGATGGGTTTTCTTCACAAAGATGGTTTCCTTTACTCGTCTCTCGAACGTTCCTCTCTATCTGTGCACATCTTCATCTCTGAAAGAGTGACCACTGGCCTGATGTGTACCTCAAACCCACACACACAAGCCAGTATTTGCAGTTTGACTCCCATCACCCTCTGGAGCACATGTTAGGAGTCATCAGGACTCTGTACCACAGAGAAGACAGCGTCCCCACAAACTTAGGAGCCAGGCAGAAGGAGAAATCCCACACAAGACAGACCCTGGAGCAATGTGGATATCCTAACTGGGCCTTCCTGAAAGCAGAGAAGAAACCCAAACAGGACTCCAGTCAGCCATCAGGTGAAAAGGAGGAACCCAGATCAGTGGTCATTCCATATGTTGCACGAGTTTCAGAGAAACTGAGTTGTTTATTTTCTAAACATGATGTCCCAGTGGCTTTTAAACCCCAAAATACATTACACCAAAGACTGGCTCATCACAAAGATCTGGTTCCCTGACACTGAGTAATATTGTGTATGCTGTTCAGTGCCAGGAGGGCTGTGATCAGTCTTACATCAGGGAAACTAAACAGCCTCTGGACAAAGGATGGCCCAGCACAGAAGATCAACATCATCAGGCCAGGACTCTGTGGTCTACACTCATCTGCAGATCAGCATTCACTCATTCAGAGATGAAGATGTTCACATCCTTGATAGAGAGGAACGATGGTTCGAGAGAGGACTAAAGGAAGCCATCTTTGTGAAGAGAAACTGTCCATCATTAAACAGGGTCAGAGGTCTCCATGTCCAGTTGTCCCCCTCTTACAGTGCTGTTATTGCTGGTATCACTCAGCCCTCTGTGAATAGTAAGTGCCTATCAGGGCACTAACGATCGTTCCTTAAGCCCCCAGTATACTCACGCGTACGTGAGTCCACGGAGGTCCGAGCTTACCGGCTTAGAGTCGAAGCAGATGCCCGCAGTGCATGTCTGCGCAAAGCTCAATTTTTACGACCGCGTACGTGTACTTGGTGTCGCACAATAAACTGCCCGGCGACGGACTGTTTTGTATGCGACACCAATGTATTAAATTCCCCTTCTTCATCCCTGATCTGGCCTTTTCTTTTGCTTTTTTTCCAAAAGGTAAGCGATCTCTTCCTCCTCCTCCGTTGACGCCATGACTGAAATTGTGAGAAATGAAGGAATTTGTCACGAGCTAATTAACATCAGGTCCAGTGTGGCTGCGGGAGGGTCTGGAGATTTCCTGGTGGGCTGGTCTGATGTGTGGGCTGCAGGTCCAGCGCTCTCTTTTTCTTAAAAGTTTTTTAACTTTTTATTAACAACATATAAACACAGAACACCGTTGTGGCTGGGGCTGCTAGCTCTCGTTTTTTTTTTTCGACCGTCAATCAATCCAGTAGGCGTGTCAGCAAATGACCAATCAGCGACCTCAATTTGTCCCGAAGGTAAACGCCCCTTGTCTGTGGAACTGCTCTGCAGCCGCTCAGGGTGGACGCTCGAGTATGAAGTCTCAACCCTTTGCGGACAGTGCACACAGTTTCCGCGCAGCTGACAGGACGTGGGAGTATACTGGAGCCTTTAGGCTGATGGTCCTCCTTTAGCATGTAACAACTAATTTTGGCTGTCACCAGCCAGCTGGTCGATCCACTATGAGAAGGTGCTGCTTATAAGACTGAGTTTGTTTGCAGCTCCTCAGACTGAAGAAGTCTTTCGAATAAAAGACAAAATGTTTCAACAAAGAAGAATCTGTCCAGAGGACCTGACTCAACCCTGTTAGATTTATCTATCTGGATTATTGAGCATGCATCAGGACATACCGATTCATTGTTTGTAACCTTTTCCTGTTTATGATACCCTTTTATTATCAGAGTGACCTTTCCCTGTGCATTGCTGTCTTTGTTGCACCGAGCTTTTGTCTGACCAGCCTTTTTGTCTGTCTGCTGTTCCAGGTGGATACTCTTCGCCATGTTATCAGCCAGACCGGAGGATACAGTGACAGCCTCGCAGCCAGCCAGATGTACAGTCCACAAGGCATCAACGTAAGACCTGTAAACAATCTCCTTCTCCTTCCTATCATTTGCTTTGTTGTCATCTGCTGCACTGACTCCCAAGTTTCTGGATGTGTGTAATATTGTGTAAATCTGGACGCTCATTTGGGTTTCTGCTTAGCAGACTTCTATGAAGACAAATCAGTCTTAAAAATAGACACAGAAGTGTACAAGATTTGTAAGCTTACAAAAGGTTCCACAGTTTCACAAACGCTTAAACAGTTTTTCAAATGTACACATTTTAATTTGCACACGCAGAAATATTCTGCGTGTACAAATTGTCAAACACGTGTGCACAAATCACCTGCGGTGGATGAATCAGTCAATGCGAGCCCACAGATCTGCTTGCTTGTGCAATGTGACTTTTGAGACTCTTAACGCTCCAGATTCACAAAGATAATGCTGCGTTCAAGGCTAGTGAAAAGCTGGGACATCTGAGCTTTACCAGATTCATTAAGTTATTGGGAAACGGCATTTCTAACTTGGCACAATCACTCATAACCCCTATATTAAAACACATACATTCAGAAGAACAATCTAATCATGTTTTATGTTTATTTCAACTATACAGTCCACAAAATTAACATTTTCTTGTTGTGTAAAAACTACCGGAAATATATTTTCCTGTATTTTTAGCAGAGGAAGAAAATACCGGAAAACGTAATTTAAGTGTATTTGCATCTGTGTTTTAATATATTGGTTATGAGCTATTTAGAAATAAGTATTTTCCCAATAACTCAGTAAATCTGGTAAGGCTCAGATGTCCCAGCTTTTCATCAGCCTTGAACGCAGCATTACCTTTGTGGATCTGGAGTGGCAAGAAAGTCTCATTCACACGCAAGCTGATCCATGCGCTCGTGTTGACTGAGGCCCTGTACACACGTAGCCGGATATCAGGAAAACCGAATAGTTTATCATGCGGTGTGGCCTTTCATCCACACGTGAACTCCGGTTGATGTAACTATAAACGAATAATAACAAAAACTCCGACCAAAGTGGAGATTTGAGAAATCTCCTCTTTCGGGTTTGCGTGTGGACTTTCGGAACCGGAGATATGCGCATTATGTCTGCGACAGATGGTGCAGCGCGGCGCTGACGTCACATGTGCGACAATTGTTTTTGTTTGCCCATTCATTCGGAGGGAAAATGACTGCGTTTAGGGAAGTACTAATTGTAACGCTGGTTCAGGCAATTTTTGCTTGCTTGTTTTTACAAGCACAACTGCTCCAACAGATGGAATTACAAAGGAGAAAAAGCGTTTGGCGTTCAGCTCTTTTACAGCAACTATCCCTACCGATACGGAGGCACAATACCGCCATTCAGCGTCGCCGTCGCCGGTTTTGGATCAGACCTGGACGCACTGCTGGCTGGTGGGAAAACTTTGAGAAGGAAATTGTTCTCCCACAGGAATGGCGTGAGAACTTCAGAATGTCACGGTCGTCATTACTGTCGCTCTCGGAGTTACTCCTTCCTTACATTCAAGGGAAGAGTACTGTAATGCGATCTCCAGTCTGTGTGGTCAAAAAAGTTGCATGCACGCTATATTATTTGGCTGACGAGGGAAGACTGCGTAAAACGGCCAATGCATTTGGCTTATCAAGACAAGTAGTCTCAAACATAATTAGAGAGGTGTGTAAGGCTATAACTGTGTACTTGGGACCATCTTACATAAAAATGCCAACAACAGAGACTGCTGTGCGTGCACTTGTTGAGGGATTTGAGCAGGCTTATGGTCTCCCTCAGTGCCTTGGAGCTGTGGATGGGACTCATGTGGAGATAAAGCAGCCATCAGCTAATTCTACAGAGTACCTAAATAGGAAGGGGAGGTTTTCTCTTAACATACAAGCCACCTGTGATTACAAGTACAGCTTTATTGATGTAGTTGTGAAATGGCCAGGGAGTGTGCATGATGCCAGAGTTTTTGCTAACTCCACAATAAACACAAATCTGAAAAACATGAAGATTCCCCCCTGTCCAAGACAAATTGTGGAGAACGAAGACGCTATACCCATTTACATACTGGGTGACCCTGCATACCCACTTCTACCTTACCTGATGAAAGAATATGCTAACGGAGGAAGCAATGTTCAGGAGCAGTACTTTGGACTTTCGTTGTGCCGAGCTAGAATGGTGATTGAATGTGCATTTGGAAGACTAAAAGCCCGATTTGGAGCCCTGAGGAGAGCCATGGACATCAATATGAACGATCTTCCATTTGTTATATATGCATGTTTTGTGTTGCACAATTTTTGTGAGGCATCAAAAGACACTGTGGATGAAAACAGAATAACTGAAGCTATTCAACATGACAGGAACAATCAACCGGACACACAGCCAGTGGTCAGAGGAGACAGCTTGGCAGCAGAAGGAAAGCGGGTCAGGAGAGTCCTCACTCAGTGTCTGGATCCATAAACACAAAAACCTGTGAACTATTTAGCAGACTGCGTTGTTTTTTCATAAAAAAACGTTATAGTTAGCACCATGTATGTTAGAGAATTTTTAAATTGTTTTGTGCAATGTTATTGCATTTCATTCTATTAATGCATGAAAAGCTACCACCCAGGATTTAGATACATTATATAATAGTTTGTAGCTCATTAGACAGACTTTTAAGTGAAATGATTTTACTTTTCTCTCTTAAAATTGGACCTGTAGTGTATTAAATAGTGCTGCCAATACTTTCTGATGAACATGACTGTATTTGTAACTGATAAATGTCATATTCACAAAAATTCACATAAAGAAACTTGCTTTTAAAATGTTTGTCAATTTATTCAAACGAACACACTTAACATGTTCTTATTTTGTGTTTCATTTATGAACAGATCAGATTATAACAGATCTACAACAGATAAAGCTTTTTAAACATGGGAGAAAAGCAGCACAGTTACTGTACACTTTTAAATCAGTGATGCCCAAGTCCATAACTTGGGAGCTACCACAGGTACATTTCAGCTGCATTTTCTTCAACAAACCAGTATGAAATAGCTGATTTCAATCATCAGTATGTATTTGATAGTGGTGTTTTGGAGAAATACATCTAAGTAGCAGTAGCTCCCAAGGACTGGACTAGATCACCACTCTTATAAAGATTCACGTAACAAAAATGTAAATAGTTAAAGTATTGTGCAATTGCTACATTTTAAGCTTTTCACAGTATGTATAAAAAGATAGCAAACAGAAAAAAAACACTGTCAGAGTAAATAACACTGTGATTAACAACCTGACATGTGTGCAACCTTGTGCAAAAGTGGAACTTGTATATACTTAACTGTACCAGACTTGTTTCGATGTATAAAACAGTACTCTACTGGTCACTAAAAAGGGCCTGACTGAATGAAAATTGGTCAGTGGCTTCAGCAGGTGTGTGGAACACAGCTTCAGTGTTCATAGTGTTTCCTGGTCTTGTGTTTTGACGTGTTCTGTCAGAAGTGGAGTTGTTTGGGTATGGGTAATTTGCTGAGTTTTGGTGGACAGAATGGTGGGCCATTGTGTGCGAATACATCGGACCTCTTGGCTCATATGGCATGTAGTGTGGTGGTTGTGCAGGTGCATGAATGACCTGTTTCAGAAGAGAAAACCCATCAACAATCGATGTGGTAAGTCTTTCCAGTGTATTGGACATTTTTGAATAGTTTTCGGATGCTTTTTGTTCTGATGTCTCAATGATTTCCACCAGTCTCTTTTTCACACGCTGGTCTTCCTCAAGAGCATTCAGCCACTGGGTCTCAGCAGGCAGCTTTCTCCTCAGACGGTCGTGTCTGTGTCCTTTTAGTTTTGCCTTCAAAAGAGAAATGAAAATCATCACAATTAAACATAAAAAAGTAAACCTGGATCATGTTGATGTTGTACTTTTCACATCACTTCTACATAACAATATGTAATAACAGCGTATCCAATGTTTGCTATATGTCTTAAAGTGTATTTTGTACCCACCACCCCATCAAACTAATGAATATGTAGGCCTAACATAATATGAGATGAGTAAGAGCATGATGGTGTCATTTCTTTTTTGCAATAATAATAAAAATAAATCAGCAACCCGTACACAGTAAAATATAAAAAACATCACATTCCAGCCTCCACTACACACCTCAACTCTTGCATAATTTTTAACACACATATTGCCTTAACTGTATTTTTAATAGCAACACAATTCAACAAACCTGTTCCGTGAATTATAGTACATCCAACAGATGAACATTTACAGCAAAAGTACTTTTATTTATGAGGAATGGACAGAAAAATATACGTACATCAAGCAGGTCTCTCCTCTCCTTTGAAGTAGGACCCACACTGCTTTCATTATCAGACCCTGTGTCTGCTACATCCATGGTAGTGGAGGAAGAAGATGTGGATGGTGAGGGTAGGGTCCGAGAATGATCCAGGTCAGCTGTTTCAATACCGGAGGATATGGTAGTACTAGCTGGAGAGCCACCCCAGATTTGTTCGCACAGTTCAAAGTACAGAAGAACCACTCGACCGTGTCCACTCCTGCGTCCTGTATCAACAGCATGGCGATATTTACCTCGGACTGCTTTCATTTTTGTTGTTAAATTCCCGCGCGTGATGTCGGCATGTGAATGGGGAAACTCGTCGGAGGACTCCGTTGGGTAATGCTCTAAAAAAAGCGCTAAAATATCAACATACTTGTTCTGACAGGATTCCCAGTCGACATTTTCCTGAGTTTTATTAACTTTGTACTCCAACACGGTATTTAATAGTAGTTCAACCTCGCGGTCTGTCCACACAAACGAACCTCCAGGCGCCATGATTCAATACTAACAGGAAGTTGTGGTTGCTTTGAAGGGTTGTGATTTGCTGATATACGTTTCACCTTTGCACTACACTGCCTCCTATGGGTTGGGCATATTCTTTACAACGCTCTGTGGTGAACATCACCGGGTTCATGTAGACGATCATTTTCTCTATCCGAACATGTATGTACGGCGATATTTTTTTGCGCGGATATTCGTTTTTTCAAACACCAGGCTACGTGTGTACAGGGCCTGATTCGTCCACAGCAGACGATTTGTGAACGTGTATTTGACAATTAGTACGCACAGAATATTCCTACTTGTGTAATTAGAAATGTGTGCATTTGAGAAACTGTTGATGTACTTGTGAATCTTGTGGTCCGCTTGTGGATCTTACTGTGCACATACAAATCTTGTACGCTTGTGTGATTACTTTTGAGACTGATGTATCTTCATAGACTTTGGTTGGGTTGGGCTGCTTTCCAGACAGTCGCCCCCTCCCTCCTTTATTCCTCTCTACTTAAGCTTTTCCATAGTAACCAGTGATGCTGAGTCTGAGCTGGAGATGCTCCTAGCCTATCGTCGGAGATTAGCCTTAGCAAGACACCTGAAGTGGACACAAACAAGGTGTCAACCTCCCTCCTAATACTAATCTCTTTTTCTAGAAGAAGACAAACTTATTGTCTCTTACACTGAGTCACAAAAACAAAACATTAATTTTTGCCATTTCTTAAAATAGCTTCCCTAACTTCCCCCATCCAAGCCTGAACCAGTCGTCGAAGTCTACTTTCTGGGCGGGACAGGCGGCACTGGAGGCTGCGTGTTAGCATGCAGATCCATAGCGACAGGCTGCGCGGAGCTGAGCAGAATCAATACGACAGTCACAGGGACAGAAAGAGCGGGGCTTTGGGCTAACAGTCCAAGCACATTGGCCAGATCAGTCATCTACAGGAACAGCAGCCCTGACAGCCCGGCCTGCAACACCCCTTTGTGCTAAAATAAGAGCACAAAAGCACTACGCAATAACATGCAGCACGCTCAGCTGGGAGTTCAAGAGATCGTGCCGCGAAGACAAATAAAATTCAAAGTATATTTGTCGCTTATTTTAAATTTAATGTCAACAAAGTGAACGGTTTGCTAATAAAGGGTTAAACTCCACTTCCATCAGAGAAAAGTGGCTCAAGACGCATTAACGAATAAATACAGTGTTTTAAAATAGTGTAAAACTCCTATTGTGGTGCAATTATTACAAAAAGATAACATTTTTTGTTTTAATTTTAGTAAAGCTCATGACTAAAGGTGTCGTATTTATGGAGCCCGAATGATCTTTTTTTCCCTCTTTTAAGATTTACTGACTGAGCTCGTGCTTCACCTCTCCTTCTTCATCCTTGAACAGCAATTACACCCCTTAAATTGCTGGTGGGTGTCGCCTCTCTTAGAGGCTGGAAATGCTTTTTTCTTTTTTTTTATTCTTTTAGCTCCTGAATGAGATGACAGACGGTCTTTACGCCAAATAACAGGGTTTGGAAATAAGAGGCTGCCAAAGCACATTCCCAGCACTCACTAATAGCGCGAAAATTGCAATTAATGTCCTAAATGGTCTTTAGTCGACCTTTTATCATGATTTGAGATCCATTTTAAAGAGTCACATTTTATTGTGATAATTTATTCTTTTATCAACCATCTCAGGGGTATATTCTGGGATACATGAAAGCTTTTGTGTAGTCTGCGTTTCATCTCCTCTGTTTATCTCACATTATGTCAGTCCTGTTGAGAGGAAAGTGAGAGAGGAGGCACAGTCTCGGTTTTTATTTTAGTGATCTGTCTCTGGGAGTGTTTATTCCTGAGGAAGTCGTTCATGTTTATGTTAAAGTTAGGGGTTTACCTTTAATTTTAGGAGTCCACACGAAGCAGCTGGAGCTGAGCTTAAACTGCTTTTTAGCCTTTTTTTTAAACATAAGCAAGAAAAGCAGCCTTTCAAAACCAGTTGTGTCGCATGATACCACTCTAAGTGCCCTGAGATTTTTAAATGTTATTTTACGTAACTAAAATAATTATAAAGAGTGCATTTTTCTGCTGACTTTAATTTTCTGCTACATATTAAGGCACACTTTGCGCTTCAGCGGGTGTTTACAGCCGGCTGCTGCTTGCAAGACTTGATTTAAAATAAATTACATGGTTTATATTTAATGGAATAAACATAACATTTAATTTCTAGGGCAAAAGGTTTAGATGTTCTGCCAGACGCATCAGCTTTGTTTGTAGATTTTACAAGTGTTCCTTCCTGAATAAAGAACTACTGTATGGCGTTTGTTTCGGTCCCTAGACGCAGAAGACAAGAGGAGACACAGCAGGGGGGCTTTTGTCAGCGCTAATTCTTGCTCTCTGTTGTATAAGAGGCTTATAGCTTCCTTAAAATAGAATACCAATAAGGGTTTTTAATGTTTTGTACATGGTTGCATCATATTTTTATATGGAAAATGACACCTCATTAGTGGAGCGAGCATTCAGCATCATAGCTGAGCGTTTATAGCCAGAAACTGCAGTTAATTAATGACCGTCTCCAACATCCAGAGTCTTTCTGTCAGGATTTTATTGGTAAGAAACCTTAGAAACCAGTCGTGTTGCATTGTGGGGTGGGGGCTGTTAGAGTTAGCTGTTATCCTGCGTTAAGGCATTTTAGCTGATTATGCACTCAAATTTAAGACCCGTTTATCTGTAGTCAAAGAAAAGCAGGTTGAAGAGGCTGATTTTCCAGTTCACAACTTTTTATTCTAACCAATAAACTAAGTCTAAAGTATTTTAAGGTAAAGTTTTAAAACAAGATTTTGTGTAAAACATTACAATAGTTTAGAAGACATGAAATCCTCATTCATATTTATGGTAGGGTTAGTGGGGTGGCTAATTCTTTATTAATTCAACATAATTTGTATTTTAAATTTAATAATTTAGTGACTTTTTGATCTACTGCGTTACAGTTTATCCTTAATTGTTTATGTTTATTCCATTGTGCTGAAAGCTGAAATGTTAAACTCCAATGTAAATTTTAAGACTTTTGGATGGAGAAGACACTCCCACATTTATGCAGTTTATTTATTTATATAAAAAACACTGTCTTTAGGTTAAAAATAGTTTGCTAAATACAAGATGTAGCTTTTATTTTGTCTTTTGTGTTACATAAGATGAGCTCCAGATTTATATGTAACTTAGAAATAGGAGCATTACTGTCTGTCTTTGTTCTTTCAGATAAAATAAGCTTTTTTTTTTATGTCAAAAACTGTTCTGAGATGAAACGGAAATATTTCATGAACGCAAGAAGTACATTTTTAGAAACGCTTATTCTCTTATTCTGTAACAAGACAGGAAACTATGGCTTTTATGAACACAAGAGAAATTTGTATAATATACTAATTAAGAACAGCATTTAAACAGATTGTGTAATAAGTGTTGTGGTGGACTTTTTGGACCCACAAGCCAATCAGCTTCCAGGAAGCATCCGCTGATTGAAGCAGGCACTGACATCTCAGCCTGACACAGACTTCATGACCCAAGGTTAATAAGTTACGAAACAGGAGTCGAATAAAGGACCTCACAGTCCTGTCATCAAAACAGTTGAACTGTCAGCAGCGATGCCTTTTAAATCCACATGCTTCAAAATGTCCTTTTCATAAGATGACATACTAATCATGAACCAAACCACAAAATATTCTTGGAACCAATAACAGAATCTCGTCCACAATGCTGATTGCTGACTGGGGCAGCTGTGGCTGAGTGGTTAGAGCAGTCGTCCTCCAGTGGGAGAGTTGGGGGTTCGATTCCACCAGCAGTCACATGTTGAAGTGTCCCTGGGCAAGACTGAACCCCTCATTGCTTCTGATGTGTGTCCCATCATTGTGTGAATGTGATCTAAAGCTCTGATTAGTCTCTACAGATTCAGATTAGCTTTGTAGAGATGTAGTAGAGTGCTGTGTGAATGGGTAAATGAGGGTATAGGTTGTATTGTAAAGCACGTTGAGTATCTCGACTAGATAGAAAGATGCTAGTACAGTCCATTTACCATTTACAGCAGAACTCTACCAATGAGTTGTTTAAGGTTGTGTCCATCAGTGCTCTCCCATCTGGCCCTGAAGGTTTGATTTGTTGCCTGTTAGTCTTCCAGAAATTTAAATAAAGTGCTGGAACTAAGAAACATCACAAATGTGCAGGGTAGTGTGTCTTATCTGTGTGTTTAGTTTTTCTGTATTTGTTTTTGTGTTGTGTTGCTGTGTTTCTCCAGTCTTCCTGTGTTATTTCTCATCTTCCCTCCATCAGCGTTTTCAGTATTTTTCCTCTGTCTGCCACCTTCACCTGTTCCCAATCCTAATCACCCCAGGTGTTATTCATATTGTCACATCAGTGTCCCTTTAAATAATGTCTTCTTATGTTTGTCCCTCGTCGGTGGATTGTGCTTCCCATAGACATCATGCTCGGTTTTGCTCCATGTCTCCATGATCCTTTGCTTTTGTACGTTCACTGCCACGTCAGCTTTTTGTTTTTGATTACGTAAATTGATATTTTTCTTACTTTTGTCCTCAAATTCATTGCCAGTCTGCGCCTGGGTTCAATAATGCAGGTCATGTTACAGTGGCCCTCAAGGACCAGGATGGGCCACCTGAAGTCAGGGGTGTCCAAACATTTTCATATGGGCCAAAACTATCAAGATGAAAGGACTCGTGGGCGACAAAAATGTGAATTTAACTCAACGTGAACAATATTTTGTAGAAAGGACAAAAATTTACTAATTTTGGTGGAGAAAGAGTTTTAAATTGTTGTAGATCCAAAACTTTAAAAGCCTCATCATAAGCTTTTTTTTTTTTTCTATTAAAAAGGATACGATTTATTTGGTTTGTTGTTTTCTTGTGTTTGTAAAATTCATTTTAGTCTGTTCTCAGCAACAAAAGCATAATTTGAGTAAGTGTCCTTTAAAAAGTGGGTCGATCAGCCTTTTGGACCATGGACAACCCAAACGGCTGATCGAAATTCTCAAAATCATCCAGTTGTCAAGTCTCTACAACAGATTCATAGAAGGTTTGATAAAGTTGATCACCTCGTATGCAGATGATACCACGTTATATTAATGTCCAGTTTCCCTCCTAGTTATTTTATCAACTGCAATATTTAGACAAGTTTTATGAATCATTATCCAAAAGTCTCCTTTCTGGTAGGAATCAGTAAAGGTTTTTGTTGCTTTGTACCATGAAGTAAAATAAAAAATATTATATCCAAAGGTTTGTATTTAGTTTAATAATGCTCATTTTGAGAAGGTTGTTTTTCATCCGTTTCACAGTTAAACCTTAATATTAAATAACAAAGGATTACCAACTAATTTGCAGAAAGTCTGTATTGACCTTTTAAGCCTGCTGACCAAAATGATACCATTCTTAAACTGCAGTTGTGGGCCACACAAAATCACTCCAAGGACCGTAAATGGCCCTCAGGCCACACTTTGGACACCCGTGCCCTAAGCTGACCCTAAGTCTTGCACTTTTGTGACCTCTGCTCCTTGTAGTCTACCATTCTCCCTCTCATTCTCACACATGTACTCTGTCTTACTACGGCTGACTTTCATTCCTCTTCTTTAAGTGCATACCTCCACCTCTTTAAATTCTCTTCCACCTATTCCCTGTTCTCACCTCAGATCACAGGTGCTTTATTCATAATTTATTGTTAATTACTTAATGTGTTTTTTTCTTTATTTCTTAAATAATACACCTTGTGTCACCTTTTATCTGAAATGTGTCCGTTGAGTAGAAGCCAGTCTCCTGAATTGCTCAAAGTCAAATGAGCTGCAAGTTTTTGTTCAAGTTACAACCCTTCTGTAAATTTCTCGCACAGTGATGACAATAATCCAGTCTGGGTTTTTTTGTTGTTGTTTTTTTATTGTTCATGTTTCCACTAAGTTTTGTTCTTGTTGTATATTCACAGACAAACGGTGGCTGGCAAGACGCTCCGACTCCTTCGTCAGTGACATCGCCCACAGAAGGACCTGGAAGCGTTCATTCAGATACTTCCAACTGAATATACCCATCTCCACACTTCATCCACACAAAAAAGAAAAAGAAAGGAAAAAAAGCAAGGACTGGTGTTGTTCCCCACAGTATTAAACAAAGGAATTCACTTTTCCACCGTTTGGCGAGTTCCTTCGAGATCCTAAAAACGACAGAAAGTTTCTCCGCTTGGACTTTTGAGATACAAAAACGAGAAGTTTCACAATAAAACTTTTAAAAAAAAAAAGACGTCGACCGAGAGTTTGTACAGATTTCACATTATAATCAGAGGGCTGGGGTTTACTTATTCACTCATAATGTTTTCACTCGATCGGATGAAATGAGACAAAGTAGATCGACTAAATCATCGGTTCAACTTCATTCTACCTCTCAGCCACCATAACGAGTAGAAGAAAATGTCAGTGACCATTCTTTGTTTTTTTTGTAAAAAAAACGTTTAAAAAAAATTAAATTTTTTGCCTTTGCAAGCAGGAGGCACATCTTCTTACATTTCGTTGTCTCTCACCTACTCTATGGTACGCCATTTTAGATGAAATATTGCTCAGTTGTTTATGATGTGTGCTCAATTAAAGTATGTTCATCCTCCCCTTCTGTCTCCGACAAGTCAAAACTGAGTTCTGTCAGGAGATTTTACCTCGAAGGTAACCCTGTGAAGTATGTTATCTGTAAAACAATAAATAAATACTTGTCATCAAAGCAGACAAGCTTGACATCATTCATTAAGAAGTGAGATGTAAGTGGTTTCACACATTGTTGGAGCGTATTTTAAACATAGACGCCTGATTTATTGACAAAACTGTAAATTACGTGTTCTGTTTGTCTTTGCTGGAACGGAGAAAAAACATTCAGGATATTTTTTATTTCCATTTATTTCACAACAAAATGTCAATTGCCAAATAACTGAAGAGTTTTTTTGTTTTTTTTTTGTATCCTAAAATAATTGCTACTTTTTCCTTTATCTGTTTGTTTGAATCAGCTTTTTATTTGCAGATTGTTGCCACAGAAAGGAATTAAAGCTCACAGAAAAGTTCTGCAAGAATAATTGTACGAGTTTTTTAAACTGTAAAGTTAAATTAAAGGTACTCATTGCAAACTATAAATCAAAACTTATTCTGGACTGTATCATATGGAGCAGTTTGAAAGAGTTTACTCTTGTATTTTTCCTGATATATTGATGCACTAATTTGAAATGTGGTACGCACTCAGTGTAAACAAAACACTCGAGAAAGCAGAAAACTGTTAAGAGCTGGAGTCATGTCATCGACTTGCGTGAGATACATTTTCACATTAGGCTGGACATAGTCTGTGTAGGTAAATTAAAACAGGTGAAGTAAACGCTGTTTTCAAGTCTATTTTAATTTAAATAGTTTTAAAATCTGCATACTTTACTCAACAGATCTGAGTGTAAATATGTATCAATACATCAAACTTTATTATCTTTACAATCTCAAATGGCTGCTCTGAAAACATCACCACCGTTAACCTGTTTTTTAGTGTCTTCGGCTGTTTCTGTAGAAAATTAAACGTTTAAATAAACGTTACGATTTTTTTATACGCCTGTCGAAGGCGGGACTTTTGTCCGGGCTGTAACTTCTGATCCGCTCAAGATACTGTAATAAAGCTTCATATACTTATGCATCATCACTAGACAGAGTGTTGCATGTATGTTTCATCACCCCAGCTCAAATGTCAAGGCCACAAATCAAGGTCAACGTTTTAACAAGGTCTTTGCTTGTCCAGAGCATAACTTCTTATCTGCTGAAGATAGTTTAATGAAACTTACTCCTTTGTACCACTACAGTGTGTTACGTAATCTTTTCAACACGTCAACGCTATAGTCAAGGTCACAAATCAAGGTCAAATGTTATGCAAGGTCTTTGCTTGTTTGGGTCATTGCTCTACATTGCTGTATAACAGACTATCGGCAGGCAGTTGTTAGTGTTATTGTTAATTCAAAGACATCAATTGATATGAGAAAAAAGGGTGCGCATTTGTTTCTTTATGATTTTTTTTTTTTACCGGTCTGCATAAGATTGCAATGAGTACCTTTAAATAAAAACTGTCCCTAGCATAAGAGGCTATGAGCATACAGCCACTGATCTTCATCACAAGAGGAATAAAACCCAAACTGCTGCTCAGCTGATGGACGGTTTGCTTAAAAACAATAAAATTCCAATATGCTTGACTTTATTTGTTGTTCTCTAGAGAGCACATCCACATGGAGACATAATGTGGCTTCAGAAACTCTATAAATTTGACACCAAAAGCAAATATGGAGTCGAACACTTCAGGTTCTGTCCATCATTTATGAACAAAGCATTCAAGATGGGACTCTCAAAGAATGTGCCCAACCTTGTTTATAGTTATTATTTTAGGTTGTGTGGCTGACTTGTTTTTGTATTTGGTTTTAACGGCATGCCGAATTCTTGTTTTTTTCTTGTTTTTGTTTCTCTCGCGTCGTGATCGGACTCATGGATTTTATTTCCGACATGTGTTTTTATGTGCACCTGTTGTGCTTGACTTGCCTTGTTGCAAAGGGTTTTCAACACATTAAACTGATATGTACTACAGCACAGTTATATTTCAACTTTATTATTGGTGTTTTTGTTACTAATTTCCTAATATGAGCTTTAGAATCAATAGAAGTCCCAACAGATACATTTACTGTACAGAGCTTTAATTTTAAAGGTAGCTGGACTCTTCATTTTGCAGCAAATACACAGAAACAAAAATTGTTTGGAGATTTATTCCTGCTCCAGCTGAACGGCTGCGTGTGTTTTTGCAAATAAGTTTAATCACAAGTGGTCATTCTGAACATATGCAAGGAGGCAGGAACACCCACTCGTGTTTATCTGTTCTGAGACCAGCCAGGATTCATGTTGGCATACAGCGTGAGGAGGCAGGTTTACCGCCTCTGAAGCTGAAGGCTTTAAACGCCTCACAGAAGTGATGAATTATGGGATTGATAAGTCATTATGGAGAGAAATGTGTTGCCAGGTGTCAATAAGCTACTTTTGATGTGAAGTTGTTCCAGGCGTTTACACGTCCTTCAGCACAGAGGGATTGACGAAATGAAAAATAGGAACGATTTCGAAAGAGAGCAGCAACGAATCCAGAAACAAATCTCACCGAAAATCTTTGGAAAGAACCAAAGTCTGCCTCTGCAACTTGGATTTCTGCAAACGCTGCATATAAACATAAACTGGGAAAAGTGGCAGAAAATACCAACACATCTAGAAAATTGTCATTGGTTTAAAAATGTTCTTATCTTTTTAAGAATTCTGGATTTGTTTTCTTCTTCGCACACCGCCAATTGTAAGATAATGTACCTGTGTCTGTGTTTGTGTCTGTTAGCAAAATATCTCAGGAACTGCCGGACAAATTTTAATGAAACTTTCAGGAAACAATAATTAGTTTTAATTGTTCAACATTTAGAGTCAACTCTGTTCAAAATGGCTGCAACAGTAAAGCAAGCTTAGGACTTTATATTATTCAAGAAAATCCAAATCACACAGTTTGTCTTACGGCTGACATGTGCCACGGACTTTTTTTTTCTTCAAATATAGCAAGTGAAGGAAAATTAAAGCTTTGTGCCACAGATGAATAACAATTAGTTACACATTTTAAAAGTGTAAAGAGAAAGAATAAATGCAAGCACTAGTGAATTTATTGTGTGAATGTTTATGAAGCATTCACACTATTGTGATCCATTTTTCTTCTGGACATTTTCGGCACGTTCTTGTCTCGCAGTTTTCAAGCTATTACAACAATTCATAAATAAAAATGTTCAGCTCTTTCAGGACAATCCTGCTCTGACTTTTGATATTGGTGCAGCTTTAGCTTTTTGAAATATTTAGCATTTTCAGCCCCCTTTTTTTTCCTCATAGAAAAGTGAATTGAGCTCATTTTACATCCTCCAAATCTTTAGATGTGTTTACAACATTTTACTACTCCTTTCACATTTTGTTCTGGTTCAGCTTCTTTCAGCTTCCTTGTGCAAAACTTTTTCCAATTCCTGCTGTTTCTCCAGCTGTTTTGTGCTCCTTTCAGATTACCCAGTATTTCTGCTAACTACAACATTGTTGTCCTTCTTTTAACTGTTTTTCCATTTTCAGCTTGTTATGCTCCTTGCAAATTAGTTCTGCAAGTTTCAGCTTTTTCTGCTAGTTCAGCTATTTAGCTTTTTTTTATACTCATTTGAGCATTTTCAACTTATTCCACATTTTATGTACTTATTTCTACTTTTTCAGCCTAATTCAGCAAAATTGTGCTCTCTCCACTTCCTTCTTGGAATTTCAGCTTCTTTCTGCTCTTTAGCTACTTTTCAAGTGTTGTTTATGCTCATTTCAGCTTTTTTCACATATTTTTTTGTGCTCATTTCTGCTTCTTTTAGCCTAATTAGGCAAACGTGTTCTTTCTGCTTTCTTCTGCTAATTTAAGTTTTTTTCTAACCATTCAGCTAACCTTTTAGCTAATTTGATCTGTTTTCAGATAAATTCAAGTTTTTGTAGTAATTTCTGCTACTTTCAGCCTAATTAATTTATATGCTAATTTCAGCTTGTTATGCTCTTTTCAACTTTTTTCTGCCATTTTCAGCTTTTTCTGATCTTGCAGCTACTATTTAGCTGTTTTATGCAAATTTTAGCTTTTTCAGCTAATTACACATTTTTTAGCTCATTTCAGCTCTTTCCACTTCTTCTAGTAGTTTAAGCTTCGTTTTGCATTTTCAGCTACCTTTCAGCTATTTTTTTTAACTAATTTCCTCTTTTTTGTGCTAACTTCTAAACCTAATTCAGCAAATATGAGTTCTTTCTGCGTTCTTCTGCTGATTTAGACTTGTTCTTCCATTTCAGCTACTTTTCAGCATGTTTTTTTTAGCTCATTTCAGCTGTTTTTCAGCAAGTCTTTCTGCAATAAGCATTCAAACATGCATTTGCACAGAAATGCAAATTCTCTACAGGATATTTTCTCTTTGCTGTTGCTGCTGATAAAGCTTTCAAACTAGGAGCTAGATAAGAGAGAAGGACAATATCATCTGTTCAGATACAGCAAACGGCAGCGCTGACATTATCTGGCTGGACAGTTGTGTGTCTGTCAGAATTATTTTCATGGAGACTGAATATTCCTAATTGGCCAAACAACAGGGTCTAGGGTGTAAGGGAGCAGTTGGCGGTAAAGTCTGCAGACGGTCACAGGCCTTGACTGCTGAGCGAGTGTGAAATGCCAAAGCCAGACTGCTCCCTGCACCCCGAGGGCACCGGAGGAGCCGGCCAGCAGAGAGGGCATCAAAAACAATGTGACAAGACTTCACCCAGAACTATCTCCTGGCCTGTGCAGCCTCACACTGCTGCAGATGAGCCTGATTATTCCAGCATGAAGCCTGCAGCTCAGCCTCCCAAACAAAAACCTGCACGGACAGCGAAGGGGTTTTTGACCGTATTCTTCGGCGGTTTTGTCACACAGCATCGTTTTTAACACCTCTCGGTTCCTTTGAGGCGGTGCGGGCTGATTGAAATCTAATGTTGCTGTTGACATTTGCCTCTCTGGCTGTCATTGCACTCTTTAAATTGCAGTAGAGGTGTAAGGGTGGGCGGCCCAGACACCTTGTCGCTCCCCTTTGCTGCGGCGGCCAGCAGACCGCTCTAATGTGTGGTGACACAGCAGCTCAGACCCTGCTGCTGCTGGACATGCTGCCACACGGGTCTGAGGGTGTTTCCTCCAAAATACACTCATTCACACACTGTCACACATAACACTGTGCAGAAAAAACAATAGGGTACCACATCTTTTTTATATTACTGAACTATAATTTTCACATTTGTCATGTTTTTGTAAGATAAAACTTCTTTTTTGCAAGTGTAATAGTGGAAATAATGTGGATGTATGTTTAGATTAGAAACTAGAATCGCTCTGAAACAAAGCAGACGTGTCTCTTTACATAAAACAGAGACATTATTGTACAACTCCAGTTCCCACTGCTGCAAAATGTAAATACAAACTGAATGCAATAATTTGGAAATCTGATGTAACCATGTTTTATTCACAATAGATGATGGCGACCATATAAAATGTTGAAACTAGGAAATTGTATTGTACTTTAGCAAAAAAAAAAAAAAAAAGGGTAGTTTTGAATTTGATGGTAGCAGCAGATGTCTAAAATGTGGGAAGAGGGGCAACAAAAGGCTTTAAAAGTAGATGGAGCTGATAAGAAACAGCTGGAGAAGCATTTTACAACTAATTAGATGAACTGTCAACAGGTTAGAGGAATGAAAAGAGCATTGAGGCTGAATCTCGTAAAGATGGGCAGAAGTTCACTAGTCTGTAAACAGTCTAGGAATAGTGGCACTATCTCAGAATAATGATTCTCAACAGAACACTCAGAAGATGTTAATTAGCTAATAATCAGCAATTATCAAACAGTTTCCAGAATCTGGAGAAATCTCAAACTCAAAGGACAAGACTATTGATGGTCAAAATGGCCCGTTTGGGCGATAAAATAATTTGGAACAGTTGTTTTTGAAATTGTGACCTGTCCTCTTGCCCAGTGACTGCTGGACATGGGCACCAGTGACACCCGCAACCCGAAAATGAAGAAGCAGGTAAAAATAACATATGGATGGATGTTCCAGAAAAGGATTGGATGTGTGGAATGTTGTGAACGTATCACAGTGACATCTGGTGACCAAACCAGTTCAAGATTCAATAAGTTTGTCACAAACACAGCAAAACATAATGACCAAGGACATTCTTTTCTATTTCCCATTACATAAATAAAATAAATAAACTAAATAAAGCAATCAACTTTACTGTAAACGTTAAAATATAAAACAAATGAAAAAAGATAGATAAATAAGATGCACTTGTTAATGAAGGACATTGGGACAAAAAGCCCAGTTTAGTGATTATTTTTTCACTCATTATTTGTGTTATTTTAAAATATTGCACTCAATAAAAAGTGAACATTGGCTTTTTGTCTTTTGTAACATTTGTGCTGGTTGTTAGTATTTAATTGGAAGTATGTTATATTTAAATTAGTCTGTATTTGTAGGAGGCGTTTCTGTACATTTGAGTATTTTTTGTATTCAGGAAAAACAATCAGTTGAACAAAATTTTACCCCTCTCCACGTTAATACTATTCCAAAATCCAAAGACACATTTAGTACCGGACACTCCGGTAAATGAGGTGAGACTTTGAAAATACACTGCAGTTTATGAGTTTAAAAATATTTTTTACGTGGGGAGGTGAAAGGCGAGTACACAGAAATAATCAGTCACATATAAAGTAGACACATACTTTTTTTGTAATTGTATTATTATTTTATTTTATTCATGAACAAGATAATAATATGTGTTTTTGACACTGAATTTTAATCCACTGTTTCACGTGACACGCTGCACTCTTAGCAGATAACCGAAGAGTATTTCAGAACATTTGCAGTGTTTAGGTACGAACCAAAAACTGTTTCCATTATACCATCACTAATTGGATGTCTGTGATCTTCAGGCCCTCGGGGGCCACTGCATCAAAACAGGTCTGATTCTGTTGAGGACATCCCAGCATGGACTCAGGAACATTTCCACATTTGTCTGTAAACACAGTTCAACCTGACATCCGAAACGTCTCCATCTTCTCTGGACAGTTTATTTAAAACGGACTGAGACAAAGTGGGAAACTCTTCCTTGGTCAGACAAACCAAAATGTAAAATTCCTTTTGGAAACCATGAACACCACATCCTACATACTAAGGTGGAGGGGTCCATACAGCCTGTTATGAGAGCTTTAACCAAAACCATGCCTCTCTGATGGTATGGGGGTGCATTAGTGTCTCTGGCATAGGCAGATTACACATTTTGACAAGCACCAACAATGCAGAAAATACATACAGGTTTTAGAACATGTCATGCTCTCATCCAGACATCTCTTTCTAGGAGGTTCTAGCATATTTTATTATTTATTTATCTGTTTAAATAAAGGTTGAATATTTTAGTAAGTCAATGCTAAACCTCATACTGCATTGAAAATATTTGACACATCAGGAAACAAAAAACAATACAAATCCAGCCCCAGGACTGCTGAACAGCTGGAATCCTTCACCAGACTCGAGTGGGACAACATTGTCCTCTAAACCTCCAGCAGCTGCTCTGCTCAGCTCCTAGATGTTTACAGGCTGTTGTAAAAAGAAGGGATGCCTCACAGTGGGAACATGACCCTAAAACAACTGTCTGGAGATGTGTGGCTGCCATCACATTCAAATATTAACATTTTTGGTCCTAAAAACGGTACAAAGTCTCATTTTGAACTTTTGATGTTTGGGTTTATAAGATTTGAAAACCATTATAATCTGTTTTTATTTACATTTGACACATCCCATATTTTTTCAGAACTGCCTTAAATGGAAAAAGTTGATCATAATTCATACGTTGTAATAAAAGCAAAGCGACTTCCAAAAAAGGGTGACTGTTCCATACTTATATTACTGTTTTTTTTTATTTTTCATTTACCCTTTATTTATACAGGTAGTCTCATTGAGCCACAAGAACTCATTTTCAAGAGAGACCTAATTAACCTATTAATTACTGATTCTATATTTTATTAATATATATATATATATATATATATATATATATATATATATATATATATTAACTGTTTCTATAATTTCTATAATTACCACTTCTTTTTACACTTTATATTTTTGCTACTGTTGGATGTAACTGGGACCCTGTGTACACAATTTCATTCCACCTCATGTACCACATGTGATGCGAATGGCAATAACGAACTTTGAGCTTATACAATTTTTTTTAATCCTCAACCAGGATCTGCATAATCCCTGCACAGTGTATCTCATTCACCAACACACCCATTCAGTGTTTATAACGATAAATATTTACATATGGAACTTTTTAAAACCTTACTCACACAGCAAAAAGCACATCAGGAGCAGTGGAAGGTCAGTTTCTTGCCCAGAGACATTTAGGGACAAAATAGATGATTAATAATAATAATAAAATTAATTATAATAAATTATAAAAAAAAAAAAAAATTTCACAAAGAGATTATTTTCAAGCAATATGTCTTGAAGGATATTTCACTTTACCTTCATAGCCTCACTTATTGCTTGTCCTCTACATCTCACACCAGTGAGGCCTGCAAAGTCCGCCTTCTGCCCCCGCTGACCCCTAAAAGGTTAGAGGTGGGGGGGGGGCTGCAAAAAGAAGGAGAAGCAACACTCTTTTTTGGGGGGATTGTGAGCTCTAAATGTGGGGTTGCAGCGCCCCTTGCGGCCGCAGCGCAGTCCAGATTCCTGCACCCAGACGCCCCTCCTCTTCCATCACCGTGTCAAAGCCCTCTGCAGGCGTGCACCAAAACTTTTGCTCACACTGACTGAGCCTTTCTTTTCTCTGTTGGCGGGGGGAAGCAACATGGCAGAGGTTGGCGTTCAGGCCGGAAGAAGAAGAAACGAGGGGATTGTGGTAATTTAATGCATGGATCTGGACAAGAAGTGCGCAGTTGGATGCGCACGGTGCGCAGTCGGACCTAACTTTACGCGCTGTTGTCGTGGTCGCGCTGCAGACACTTTAACTTGAGTTTCTGCAGCTTCATGTTTGATTCTCTCCTCCCCAGATCAACGACGACTGGCCAGGTTACAGCTTGGACCTCTTCAGCTACCCGACCCATTACTCTGGAGACCTGGACTGCGTCATCATCCCGCATGGAGTCATTATGGACAGGTTGGTTGGTTGCGCAAGAAGACGTGGCTCTGATTGTTAGATTAGGAAGATAAAAGTTGGCTTTGTCTTTGGTTTGGACTTTGTGCATCTATTAGGGGGGAGATCCTCTGTAAAATGATTTAAAACAACAAAATACAAGTATTTTTACTCTGTTTTTGCAGTTTTTAAGTACGAACATTTTGTTATAAATAAAATAATTTATCCATAAGAAGATGTCATGAGTTTAAGAAACTTTCTCTTGAATCACACAAGAGAGGAATGTTTGAAATATAATTAGAGTCAGAGTCAGAGTTTCTTTATTGTCATTCGCACCTCATGTGGTACATGTGGTGGAGCGAAATTATGTACACAGGGTCCCAGTTACATCCCACAATAAAATGTATAAGAAAAACAGTAATAACATCTAAGATATGAACTAAGAAAAACATCAACTAAATATACACTAAGCACCCATAACATAAAAACATTGAACATCAGCACAAACATGAACATGAGTCTGTGAGCAGATGTGCACGCATGAACACATCAACATTAAAACAGATCAGCAGCAACATGAAACAGATCAGCAGCAACATGAAACAGATCAGCAGCAACATGAAACAGATCAGCAGCAACATGATATGGTTTTTCACAGTGATTATTCTAGTTAGAGATTCATGAGTCTAACAGCCTCAGGGTAGAAGCTGTTCCTCAGTCTAGTGGTTCTACACTTAATGCTCCTTAACCTCCTTCCTGAGGGGAGTGGGGCAAAAAGTGTGTGTGCTGGGTGGGTGGGGTCCTTCATGATGCAGGTGGCCCTCTTCCTGCATCTGGAGGTGTAGATGTCTGTGATGGTGGGGAG